ACCCACACAATCTATTCTTCTAGGTGTAACTTGTCTTCACTATTATCGTATTCTGACTTCAATACATAATAAATTTCATCATCCAACAGTCCATTCTTATAGTGAGTAGGGAAGTGGACCTGAGATCGCATATGGATTTGTGTTGTTTGTCAACGAAACGTTTCGTTAAATGCTTGTACTATTAAGCAACCAAAAAACAAGATTTTGGAAAGTTTTCTGAAGTTAGGAGTGAAGATTACGTAGTAAATGCTAACGGTGTAGATCTGTATACGCAATCTAGGTGAACATTCAAATGTAGTAATGAAACCTACCATCGAACACTAATTTATTCAGTAAAATATATGCCAGCTCCATTTACATGGAATGCACCAAAATAGTTTGCGATAAGCCACTAGTAGTTTCCGACGTTCTTTGTATTCTATTACGAAGTCATCGACCAGATAACCTGGGTTGTCTAAGGTTATTCCACTGATAAATGTAACGAGTAGCCCCACAAGTTATTTTTAAGGATCACTTCGTACGTTATTTACGTGGAGTGTTGTTTCACACGTTGACTCTGTCACTACACAAAGAACTATCTTAAATAGAGCAAGAACAAAGATTGGTGCAGAATAATATGAATTCATTTTATTTAGTTAGGTTCTCATCAGCTGCTTACAACCTAAATTATTTGAAAATTCAAATTATTACAGATATTGAATTTTCAAATAATTTAGGTTGTAAGCAGCTTATGAGAACCTAACGAAATAAAATGAATTCATATTATTCTGCACCAATCTTCGTTCTTGCTCTATTTAAGATAATAAAGGGAACTATGTGTACAAAGAACTATGTTTTAATGACTGTCTTTTATGTCCGTATGCAAATAAATATTGTTTATAAAATCAGAGTAGTTGGGGACTTTATTCAATACCATGCCTTATATATAATAATCTTATATATATACATAACTAGACGAAATATTCAGAGACCCTTAGACAGAAACTGCAATATATCTGCCTCTCAACCAACCAGCAATGCTTATCGTTATACTCTTGTTCGTTTAGTTGTCTGTGCGATTCGTGTCTTTTTTATTGCTTCATTTGTGTGGTGCATTTTTCGAGGCATCCTATTGTAATAGTATTTATGTGCTACAGTATTTTTTTTACTCAAGCACGTAACTCGGTTTGTGGAGTCCAAAAGTAAACATTGAATTGTCTAAGGGATTCGTTTTAGAATTCAACATTAGTCTATATAGACTTTCTGTAAGCTTTCTTAAGGTGTCAACTGCATCAGTAGTCTTAACACTAAAAGACTAATTGTCGTTGGGTAGAATTGTAAGGCAAGTTACATAATTTGCCTAAATTTCACTTCGGTTTGTAACCAGACATTCCGTTATCATGGAGTCGGGTTAAACGTTTTCAACAGACTTTGGTATTATATGATTTTCATATTGTTTTATGTATGGAATAAAAGCTATGAGTTTGTATTTACACCAAATTTCGTTCCAAAGTTTCGTTTATCTGCTTTTTGCTTCCTCTTTGAACTGAATACTAAATTCTCAGTCCATTTTTTAGATGGAAGACTCCGTGTATGTAACTAAACTCCCCGCTCCACGTGAAGTATCACCACTCATACGAACAGCGCGTTGGGGATTGTTAGCTGCTGGGATTGTTTATGGAGCTCTACGCCTAAAATATCTTACTAGAAGGGAAAAGAAGATATCCGAACGTGACCGTACAATTATAGAAAAAAGATTGAAAGAGTACAATGAATTGTGTGCTCTACAGGCACAAAAATCTCTGGAGGAGTTATCTAAAGCAACTGGTGTACCGTTGAATTAGTAGATAGCATAATAAACTTTAGAAACTACTATGATGTATATCACTTCCAAATTTTCAGATATATAGTCAGTCCACATTCTTTTCTTTTTACTTATTTTCAATTTTATACTAACAAGATAGCACTATACAAATCAAAACTAATGACAACCTCCGTGTCACACGCTTTAAACCTCCACCTGACAGGGTTTAAGAAGCTGTGTTATTAGACCTAACATGAACGCGACTCATAAGCTAGTACCCGAACCTACACAAAAACTAAAATCACTTGATTACCTTATAAATTCGTTTTAACAACAGGCTCGTTTATATTTATCAATCTGTGCCAATTAATATTTGTAGAAGCATACTGTGCAGCATTGTGCTCTGTATGTAACCCCAAAAATAAATAGAAAAAAAACACGTAAAACGAAATAAGATTCATACCCGTTGCACAAGCGCATCTATCTATACTCGGTAGATAACGCACGCAATGGATAACTAGGTCTAATTGTACTGGACTCGAGTCCCAGCGTAAGCATCAACGCTAGAATGTGGGTACATCCAGCCGACGATCCTCAAATCAAACGAAGCGCGTGTCCTGTATTCCGCTACCACCCATTTCCCGACTTTGCTAAAACTTGTGTATTTTATATTTAAGGTTGTTTATTCGGCTTCTATGGCTCAAATCATTGTTTTGAGACACTATGAGAGATTGAAGATTTTATAGTTTGAAAGTCGTTGTAATATTTTGCTTTTATGTGCATTTTTTTATAGGCCTTATTTCTTACTGATTATGTTTAACTCACGTTTTGTCTATTATATACTATGTTGTTCAGCGTCGTAGTGCGTAGTGAAGTTAATACCTTAAATAAATGGTTTACGTAAATGTAAATTATTAAGCAAATACATAGTTTGCATTGAACGCTGATTACTATAAAGAACAAACAACTACACTCTCTCTCTACAACCACTACCAAGAGTACTAAAACACCACCTCTCACACTCAGGAGCGCGTGCGCGAAGAGTGACACACACAGACACGTATAGCTATATATCTCCTCTACTGAATGTGCGAATTCACACTCACACACACACACACTAGTGAAACTTACTCTCTACTCTATCTCTCTACACACACACACACACCAAGACGTGTGAGCGATGGGGGAGCGTGGGGGGGAGGGTGTATGGGGTGTGGTGGTGTGAGTGTGAGCATGCACACAACACACACGGAAGGAGATGCAGCACTAACCTCGTAGTATGTATTCTATCATATATCCTATCTCTGTCTCTACTCTCTCATCTATCAACACACCACACAACACACACACACACACACGGGTTTGAAGGTAAACTCCAGAGATTTTGAATTTATAATTATAAAGAATAGGACTCTCTCTATATCTTGGGGGTTGTATCACACTAATTTTAATTAATAGGTATAGTAATTGTTTGAGGAATAATGGGGTAGTTAGAGTAAAGGGTCAAACACACTGTAGGTATACACGGACGGATCTAACTATCAGAAACAAATACACAAGTACTAAAAAAGATGGTTTTTTATATATTTGAGGGGTAGTTAAGGAAGTGAATCTCAGAAGTATCATATATTTTATCTCTTTATGAGTATTTAAATGTGTTCTATCTCTCTATATCTCTATAGATTGAGATCATTTTTAAGTTGAAGTTGTTTTGTTTGTATTGAAGATATGAGAGCGAGGTGTTGTGGAGGGTATTTGGGGGGTTAAATGGAAAGGTAGCGAGAGTGTATGTGTGATATGAGGGGTGTGTGTAGGTTAAGGTTGTTTGGTTTGGTGGATTTTTGTTGGGGGGTGGATACAGAGTGTGAGAGCATCACACACATGGTGTAGTACAAGAAGAAGTCACACAAACACACACACATCTGGGAAGTGATGAGAGAGGGTTGGAGTGGAGATGTGGGGTGAGTTTGTGGTTTTATTGGGTTGGAGAGAATTGTGTTGGGGGAATAGAGTTGGAAGAGTTAATAGGTGAGGGGGTGAGGGGGGAGATATTTGTGGGGGTGAGTAATTATGTAGATTATATAATAGAGTAGGGGGGGGGGAAGTGGGGAAGGGGGGGAAAGAAGTTAAGGGTGATGGTAGAAATATAATGTTTTATGAGAATTGAATTGTTTGGGTGGTGGATGTGGTTAGGAATTTATGATGGTGTAGTGTTGGGGGGGGTGTAATGGGAAATTTAGAGTGTATTTTTGGTTGGTATTATTGATAGGTTTTTGTTATGTAATAGGTTTGGTGAGAATTATATCATTATTATTATTATAGAGTTTTGGCATTTTAGCTGACGTCAGTTTGTGATGAAAACCCTAACCTTAATCACCGACTTTATATCATAATTTTAATTCTCCACACAGGTTTATAACCTTCATTCCGTCCTGGTTATTAGGTGGATACTCTCAAGGACAGTCTGGTGTCACTCAAAAGTCATCCATAAATTACAGTCTCACCGATGTTATGCGTAACGGCCAGGTGTAGAGCGTCCTAATGCTTTGATGAAGGAATGTTTCAGCTTCCGTATCCCAAATGCGCAAGACCTCTTTTTGAATATCGTGTCCAAGCAACTAATCCGTATCTAAATAGACAGACACTTGAGAATGTCTAAAAAAGTAGGTACTAAGTTAGTGACGGGGCTCTCCAATTAATTCCATGATGAGCGGTTCACACTCATATCTCGTCCCCTTATCGTGCTATATAAGGTGACACATAAGCACTGTATAGTCTAAATGATGACTTGGTTGTGAACATATCTCGCCATTCCCCACTTCCCTACGACTAGCCATCACCGAGGCAATCACAAAAAGGTTCGATAACCGCGGTCGAATTAGATCAAAGTGGGAATTCACTCATCTCCCCGAGTGGCCAACGGCTGAAACACCCCGTTTATTTTCTGCTTGAAACTGCCTATTGACAGACTATCTAGTCAGCTGACAAGATTGGTTACGTCGATCTTATAGGGTTCCGTAGTTAACGCCTAATGTAAAGTATAGAAAGAATCAGAAACATCCATGAATTATAGTTCATGGGTCATTCTAACCTCTACATATGTAGAGGTTAGAATGACCCATTCAAGTAATAAGCAAATGATATTAAAACCATTTCACACTAAAAGGCCGAACACAAAAAGGCGAAGTCAGACAAATTAGACAGATTACAAACTTACCCTGCATTGATAAAAAACGTTAGGATGGGGATATACGAGGCTAAATCGTTCTCTAGTGCACTCTACGGCAATCTGTGAACACGACATAAACAGGTTACAAGCTTAGTCCAGGGGATAAATAAACTGTAATGTGCAACTCGATCAGTTGGCTGGAATTGTCTTCAGGGTCAACCCCCCCCCTATGAGATGCGTACAGATCCGCGACTCAATTGGCCTCCAACAAACTGTAACGTTCCAATTAAATGTATTGATCCAATCGACCAATGAACCAACAATTTAAAAGCAAAGGTCGTCTCTACCTCAGCGTGTTGCTAATGTTACAAAACCAAGTTTTAAAATTTTGCGGCTCTATAGCACTAAGGCCACAAACATACGATGGGTTATAACAACATAGTTATTTTAAACCTTAAATATCGGTGTATAAAAATACTAATCTGTAGTTTCCTTGGGACCACATTCGTAGTCGCATTAGAAGATGATTGGTTACCGATAGTTATCATTCCTGTTTTAGTCTCTTAGGAATACAGGAAGACTAAAGCTTTTATGTGTGATTAAGTCTTCTTCTCCTTTATGCCCATCGAACTCCCAGTAAGATTTTCATTGTAACTGCCTACTTGGTTGAGTTTACAAATCATGGTGCTTTTGGGTGATAATTTTGGAAATCATTTTTGTTCGATGCTAGGAACAGTTTCAACCAAATATAATAATCCTCGATGATGTTTCACTGTGCTGAAGAGAATACTGTTAATTATTGAGATGGTGCTTGAAGTGATTAATTCAGAAACATACAACTTCGGCTTCTAGGAAATAAGGAGCAGCAACGGTGCGTTTCTAGGCACACAGAAGACAGCTATAAGCCGACAACGTGAAACACCATGTAGGGCTGGAGTTTTAAAGAATGTACAAATATAAAATTTATACGTTGGTGAAAAAGGTATTCAGAACAAACACAGTTAGTCACAGTAGCATTTTGAAAGACATAAAGTGATAGTAATTCACTGCTGAGAACAACTAAGCTTGAAAATCTCTTGGAACCAGTTTTATCAACGCTATTGACGGAAAGTACTTATACAAGTAAAGATGCCAAGGGTATTCGAATCAGAAGTCAGAAACAAAGTGGTTCGAAGACATATTCAGAGGGCTATCGGATGTCGAGCAACGTTTGGTCTAAAGTGGCTCACAGCTGAAAGGAATGCGCCGCACAGCATACCCACACGTGATCTGGTGCGCATGCGTGGCCGAGCGCCTACGAAAACGAAAAACCAGTGGATGGTTTTGAGTCAACTCATGTTAAGATAGACATGCCGTTTACCATATATGGCGGTCGATTTTCCGTTTGCCGCCCGTAAGTTTAAACCCGGTTCGTGAAGTCCGTCGTTAGAGCTCCCTGGAAGAACGCTAACTTCTGCGCTGGAGTCGACGGGGTAGCGGACTTTCGTAACCACCTCAGTGACACATAACAGATGGCTATGTTCGTCGGCCACTGTTGCCGTTAACGTGTGCCAGCTGGAATGTTCCCCGAAACGTTTTTCATGTTGGTCGGTTTGAAGTCCGGAAAATCGAAGTGTCTTCTGCAGTTTCGAGATTTTCCGTACTGATTATGGAACCAGCACCAGTCGGTGTTATCTGTCTCTCATGATCTAGAGAAAGATAGTTTTCGATCATAGCGGATATAAAGGTAACGTGTCAGAGTATAAAAGAGTTCCCTATCATCATTTCATGTCATTTGAGGCCTTTCGTTCGACTGAAATTCCTCGGCGTTCGACGTTTTGCTGATCCCTCGAATATGGTCAGCAGATTCGGCCAGCTCGTTTACGGCGTTGTTCTGAAACGAGACAAGCACCGTCTGCACCTAGTGAGGACGTTTAGACAAGAAAAGTTGTCTAGACATGCCATCACCGAAAGTCCTTTGACAAATTACCTCTCTTGTTCGTAGTAATACGTCTGTTGCCGAGCCATGTTGTAGATCGATATTATTGAAAAGTTGATCTAACCTGTATTGATCGCTTAGAACTCCGCGTCTAAGAATTGACCTTTTAAGAGTTTTGTAAGGTTCCGAAACATCACTAGTAAACATGCTAGGTGTGACGTGCTTGTTGAATTCGCGCCTTGGTGCCCTTAACACTGCGAGGTACTGTGCACATGGGTCAGTCACTCCGCGCTTATAGAAATCAGCCTCTACGCAGCATAGCTAGGCTTCAATATTGTTAGGCCAAAATGGCATTGGCTGAAACAAGAGTGGCGTAAGAGACTTCAATCTTCAGTAATAAGGATAGTAGGTTGATGAACCTGTGTTAATCCTGACACATTGCTTTCCAGTGAAGGTCCAGCTTTTCCTTGAAAGTATTCACTGATGGGGCTGATACCACTTGTTCGGGTAAGGCGTTCCAATGATTGACTACTCGATGAGAAAAACGGGATCCCACTTTAAGTTTATTAGATCCTGGTTTATGAACCTTCTTGCTGTGACCTCGGAGATTATTAGTGCTGGAGGGAGCAAAAAGATAAGACATATTAACACCCAAATCATAATTAAAGATACGAAATGCCAGTATAAGGTCACCTCGAGTCCTACGATACGACAAGGGGATAAGATTTAGGCGTTTTAAGCGCTCGTCGTAAGGGAGACTAGAAAGACCCTTCACTAATTTCGTTCCCACACGTTGGACATGCTCAAGTGAGTTAGTATCCCTAACCAGACACGGGCTAGCTGCTTGGATGCAGTACTCTAAATGTGGTCTTACATATATGGAATATAAAATTGGAAATGTTTCCTCGTCAAAAGATTTGAACGCTCGGCGAAGTGACCATAACGCACGAAAACCTTCGACAGCGGCTGCTTTGCAATGCGTAGAACAGTCTATATCTACTGTGAACCAAGTTTCTGTAACAACGATTATATCGGAATATAATTCTTCCACTATCAGACTTGGCTCGGACGTTTTATTTCTAAGACTACGAGTGTTAGAGTAGCACACACTTAAGGTGTTTTGGCAATCAATCGTTCTACCCATACAGGCCTCGGAAGCATTAACTTCCAAGACCTGACTACCCGGAAACCCTTAATGGTAAGGTTATTTTCGCCATTTAATTTGCGAGTCCTCAACTCCGTAAGAGCATTCATCCACTTGATTCCATCCTCAAGCGGCCAATCTGATCGAATACGGATATTTGAGTAACGAGTTTTCAGTGCGTTTTTCAATAATATGTCTCTTTCTTCGGAACTCCCGAGAACCAGCTTTAGGATCCTTCTTGGTTGGGTCTCGCCTCCAACCGATTTACGAAGTCGTATTACCTTTGTAAAATTTACCCCTGAAACCTCTTCAGGTAGTACATTTCATACCACAGACTCCACTAACTGCAGGTCATGTGCATGTCTTCTAGCAGGGTCGTTATCTTTCGACTCCTCTAGATTCCAAATAATTAAACTAGGAAGGTGTTAGACAGCTTTCGACCGCGGCGATAGATCCTGTATTTAAACTACTGGTAGCTTACGATTAGTTTTTATTTTAACAGAGTCCTGGGAGTCAAGCGAATGACTCACAACAATGTCAGACGAAGCTTTACTATGAGACTTTGGCGGATTGGTCTGAGAGTCCACCAAGGACTTGCCAAGTAAACAGTCATTAGTTTTAGCTATCTTTCCTACTCTTCTGCGTTTTCGCGTCATCCATTTTCCATCAGTCGAAACATCTACATTAGAACAACTCGGGACAGTAATTGTTTTATCTGAATCACCAGTCGTAGCTGTGGCAATATGGCCACCAACGTCTAATGAGGTGTCACTCACTGATCGTTTCGGGGGAGAGCGTTTAACTGTGGGTTGCACAGGTAGATGTCTGGCTTGCGCCGTGATAGCACTTACGACACTAACACAATCTTCGCCATCCGTACCAATGTTATCAGTACAGCCCTCATCAACCTTCTTATTAGCCAACACCAGGAGACTAATTGCTTCCTGGATAAGCAATGTTTTGCTCGAGCAACAAAAACTACAAAGCCAATGAGAGTTGGGCTTTGAACACCTTTTATATGCAGTGGGGCTTAATCGGGTGCACATCTTATGGAACCACTTATTACACTCATCACATTGCATCCCTTCATCCACGGGAAATAAGCAGTATGGTTGTCCACATTTATGAGTAGACCTAGCCATCTTGAAAATCAACGAGAACGGTGACGAAAACAGGATATGTAGAAGGATTTTCAAACCTTAACTAAATAAACCAAGTAAAAGTCGACCAAGTATGCTTCGATGCAATAAATACACAGAAGCGAAATCGAAAAACTCAATAAAATATCACTTTAACTGGGGTAGATGCAATTAAAGTGTAAACAGTAGTTTTGATGCGTAATTTACGATCAAAACAGTTAATTAACTCAACGAGAAAGAATACCACTGTCCTTTTTAAATAGCGCGCTTTATCCTGGCTTGGGACCGGCAGTAGCCCTAGAAGGGCTCCAGGTCGAGTTAAAAATAATGTGGCCAGCATCAAATATAGATGATTTACAGAGTTATTGATTTTGGGAATTTATTTATCGCTACACCCGATATAACTGTCCAACTGAACCATGAACATCGCTATTTTGAGTTATATTTTGTTTTCTTCAATTAGAATGTACAAAACTCTTCAACTTTATATTAAATGTCAAGCGTCTCACTACTTCTGATGCAGAGACCATTTGTACCTGCTTAGGTTTTGTGAACTATTTTAAGGGCTGCTTGATTCGAAACTTGAACGCGCCAAGGTCAGCACTCCTGTATTAAGAGACTAGACTGTCTCCAGTTCTGCTAAACTCTAAGCCAGTTTGTGGGAAGTAGACTGAAGTCAATTTCCATATTTTGTAAAGTCTTTGACTTATTTACAATGAATATTCAGTAATTATGTAAATGTAGTGCTAGCTTCATAATTTATTCGACAACAATTGGAATCAAGTTAGCAAATGAATATAATTAATAAAACACCAAGCTTTATTGTTCTCATTGAGTAGTCGTTTAAAACGATCATTAAAATACCAATGGGAAGGACATATGTTTCCAAGTTATACAGAAAAACTCAAGTTATAGGTCATGTTGTTACTTATGAAGTCTTTTTTTTAAACAAACAAGGCTTTTCTCACGCTCATTCTTAGCCAGAGAGTTGTATACGTGGGTTACAAATAGTAAAATAAGCCATGTCTATGCTTCACTCTAAAACCGCCCAATTTCCCTATTTTGGGGGTTTTCCACAAAGTCGTAAGAAATTTGGTGGTTTTCCCCCAAATAATTCACTACGCGTGATGAATTTTCTTGTCCTAATATCAACAATTTGCATTTTTCCTCTGGAGAAGAGCATAAAGATACTACTGACCAACGATGTATGCCAATCGAATGTGTTCTTATATCTTATACTCCGAACATATGTGTTCGGAGTATGTTTCTAAGCCAGCATCCTAAATAAGGTATATGGTAAGTGAAGCCTAAAACTTCTACATACCCTAACCGCTAATGTGAAAACCTTTTAGGGAAGTAACCGTAATTGCAACTTAGTATCTCGTGACGGTTAAAGTCATAAATTTAAAGTATTTCTGGTATGTTTGCGGATTGATTAGTCCCTTGACTGATTGAGGAATAATCTTAATATTTTGGTCGGTTCTCATTTTATTGCTCTTATCAGTATTAATTTTTAGTTACTCAGTCAGACAAACGCAGTAACCCACTAGCTCTGCTAGATGTATACCCTAACGCAAATCTTGCAGTCGTAAAGACAGTAACTACTACTGGTAGTGGGAAAATTAAGCATCGCAGACACGATTTGAGAAGATACGAATTAGTAAAATAGAAGGATTACGAGGAATTTAGAAATATAGGATCGAATCGAGGACAGAGAGTGGATGGACCTAAGTCATTGAAGACGATTCTGAGTGGATTCCACCTAATCTCTGACCATTTGTTATGATGACCAGGTGGACTCGAACCAGGTAGCCTGCACCTCTCTACCTACATGGTTTAATCCAATATTCAGTGTCTCCATGGACTGATGCCATCTCTTAAGTTGTCTGTCCTTAGCTTTTTTCCAACCTACTCTTATTCTAGTCAATGTCGCCCATCGATGTAGTTGGCGGGTGGGCATACGTAGTGTATGTCCTGACCGTCTCAGCCGATAGAACTTCACATCTTCGTCGGTCGATCGACCATCTTTGCCTTTTACTGTGTTTAACCACGAAATCGGTAACTCGATGGTCCTATAATATGCGAGCGATGCTCTGAAGTCACGTATAATCGATTCTTAGCAAACCAAAAGTCTCCCTAAATTTTAGCGTCCAGGTTTCACAGCCATAAAGTGAAACGAAGAGAACTGGGCAGTGCACCTGTCCTTTAGCCGACAGATGGGTATCTTAACTACGTCACAAATGATCCAAGTTTGCAAAAGCCAATTGAGCTCTCTGGATTCGTGTTGAATTTCCGCCAGACACTAACACATCAGTCACTAGTATTCGGATAACCCACACAATCTATTCTTCTAGGTGTAACTTGTCTTCACTATTATCGTATTCTGACTTCAATACATAATAAATTTCATCATCCAACAGTCCATTCTTATAGTGAGTAGGGAAGTGGACCTGAGATCGCATATGGATTTGTGTTGTTTGTCAACGAAACGTTTCGTTAAATGCTTGTACTATTAAGCAACCAAAAAACAAGATTTTGGAAAGTTTTCTGAAGTTAGGAGTGAAGATTACGTAGTAAATGCTAACGGTGTAGATCTGTATACGCAATCTAGGTGAACATTCAAATGTAGTAATGAAACCTACCATCGAACACTAATTTATTCAGTAAAATATATGCCAGCTCCATTTACATGGAATGCATCAAAATAGTTTGCGATAAGCCACTAGTAGTTTCCGACGTTCTTTGTATTCTATTACGAAGTCATCGACCAGATAACCTGGGTTGTCTAAGGTTATTCCACTGATAAATGTAACGAGTAGCCCCACAAGTTATTTTTAAGGATCACTTCGTACGTTATTTACGTGGAGTGTTGTTTCACACGTTGACTCTGTCACTACACAAAGAACTATCTTAAATAGAGCAAGAACAAAGATTGGTGCAGAATAATATGAATTCATTTTATTTAGTTAGGTTCTCATCAGCTGCTTACAACCTAAATTATTTGAAAATTCAAATTATTACAGATATTGAATTTTCAAATAATTTAGGTTGTAAGCAGCTTATGAGAACCTAACGAAATAAAATGAATTCATATTATTCTGCACCAATCTTCGTTCTTGCTCTATTTAAGATAATAAAGGGAACTATGTGTACAAAGAACTATGTTTTAATGACTGTCTTTTATGTCCGTATGCAAATAAATATTGTTTATAAAATCAGAGTAGTTGGGGACTTTATTCAATACCATGCCTTATATATAATAATCTTATATATATACATAACTAGACGAAATATTCAGAGACCCTTAGACAGAAACTGCAATATATCTGCCTCTCAACCAACCAGCAATGCTTATCGTTATACTCTTGTTCGTTTAGTTGTCTGTGCGATTCGTGTCTTTTTTATTGCTTCATTTGTGTGGTGCATTTTTCGAGGCATCCTATTGTAATAGTATTTATGTGCTACAGTATTTTTTTTACTCAAGCACGTAACTCGGTTTGTGGAGTCCAAAAGTAAACATTGAATTGTCTAAGGGATTCGTTTTAGAATTCAACATTAGTCTATATAGACTTTCTGTAAGCTTTCTTAAGGTGTCAACTGCATCAGTAGTCTTAACACTAAAAGACTAATTGTCGTTGGGTAGAATTGTAAGGCAAGTTACATAATTTGCCTAAATTTCACTTCGGTTTGTAACCAGACATTCCGTTATCATGGAGTCGGGTTAAACGTTTTCAACAGACTTTGGTATTATATGATTTTCATATTGTTTTATGTATGGAATAAAAGCTATGAGTTTGTATTTACACCAAATTTCGTTCCAAAGTTTCGTTTATCTGCTTTTTGCTTCCTCTTTGAACTGAATACTAAATTCTCAGTCCATTTTTTAGATGGAAGACTCCGTGTATGTAACTAAACTCCCCGCTCCACGTGAAGTATCACCACTCATACGAACAGCGCGTTGGGGATTGTTAGCTGCTGGGATTGTTTATGGAGCTCTACGCCTAAAATATCTTACTAGAAGGGAAAAGAAGATATCCGAACGTGACCGTACAATTATAGAAAAAAGATTGAAAGAGTACAATGAATTGTGTGCTCTACAGGCACAAAAATCTCTGGAGGAGTTATCTAAAGCAACTGGTGTACCGTTGAATTAGTAGATAGCATAATAAACTTTAGAAACTACTATGATGTATATCACTTCCAAATTTTCAGATATATAGTCAGTCCACATTCTTTTCTTTTTACTTATTTTCAATTTTATACTAACAAGATAGCACTATACAAATCAAAACTAATGACAACCTCCGTGTCACACGCTTTAAACCTCCACCTGACAGGGTTTAAGAAGCTGTGTTATTAGACCTAACATGAACGCGACTCATAAGCTAGTACCCGAACCTACACAAAAACTAAAATCACTTGATTACCTTATAAATTCGTTTTAACAACAGGCTCGTTTATATTTATCAATCTGTGCCAATTAATATTTGTAGAAGCATACTGTGCAGCATTGTGCTCTGTATGTAACCCCAAAAATAAATAGAAAAAAAACACGTAAAACGAAATAAGATTCATACCCGTTGCACAAGCGCATCTATCTATACTCGGTAGATAACGCACGCAATGGATAACTAGGTCTAATTGTACTGGACTCGAGTCCCAGCGTAAGCATCAACGCTAGAATGTGGGTACATCCAGCCGACGATCCTCAAATCAAACGAAGCGCGTGTCCTGTATTCCGCTACCACCCATTTCCCGACTTTGCTAAAACTTGTGTATTTTATATTTAAGGTTGTTTATTCGGCTTCTATGGCTCAAATCATTGTTTTGAGACACTATGAGAGATTGAAGATTTTATAGTTTGAAAGTCGTTGTAATATTTTGCTTTTATGTGCATTTTTTTATAGGCCTTATTTCTTACTGATTATGTTTAACTCACGTTTTGTCTATTATATACTATGTTGTTCAGCGTCGTAGTGCGTAGTGAAGTTAATACCTTAAATAAATGGTTTACGTAAATGTAAATTATTAAGCAAATACATAGTTTGCATTGAACGCTGATTACTATAAAGAACAATACTACCAACCAGTCATTGTCAGCATTGAACCTGACAAATGTGCGTTATCCTAAATTTCTATACCACATCATCACAACGAAGTGAAACTAACAAGATGAATAACAAAAGTCGAGGTAATTCTATTAGTGGTGATAACGCTAAAAACCCTAACCACGTAGTCTGAACTTTCTAACGGGACTCAGACTAGCAATTAGTGAATTCACGGACTGATGTTATGTTTTGGTTTAGGTCCCACCAGCGCTTTTCCAAACTACTACAACAGCATCTGTAAAAGTAGGTGGTGGTCGAGCATACATAACACGTGGATCACGAACCGTTCGACTACAGTTTCGAACTCTACCGTACTCTAGAGTGTCAGGTAGCATCGCAGGTTTTAACACAAAATGAGTTTCGAAACGGAATGTGCAAACCTGTAATTGATTAGTCAATCCCATTGAATAAAAGTAACAGTAGAAATAACCGAATCAGTATAATAGATAGTCATAATTAACATGATGTTCGGGACATATGATGGTTAACCCAAGTTCCCGTACCAAATCAACACATCGAGATATACTTAACCAGATAAGTAGGAAATGAGTCGAAATAATAATGGTAGTGGTAATAATGATAAGCGATCATTTAGAGTACAAAAAGACAAAGCGCAACGGTATGTGCGTGTAAATATTCGATCTCAAGATCTGGAGAAATGTAAGAAGTTAATGCATCTCCACTATGAACTGTGTCACTCGAATTCTCTAACCACTTATCTTGTTTATCGTGTGGTTCGCAAGCATGTAGTGTTTATCTACCAACATGACTCAGAGCAGCACCACTGACTTTGTGGGTTGGTCCTATGTCTTGGTTTGGTCCCTCCTAACCTTATCGATTCACTCCCACACCAGAAAACATCGCCTATCCATGTAAGAGGTGATTAGGCATATGTAACGTCCTAATCGTATCAGTTGACGAGTAGTGTTGGTAACGTTCATTCAACTAAAGTGAGCCTTGAAGCTAATTACATAAGGATGTACCGGTAAATTTCAACCTGTTCAAAAATGATAGTTTTCAGTATATGGTACTATTAATTTATTTGTACAATAACTACTAAAGAAGTTGGCTTCCGTATCAGTAACCCTGAAAACCTTTATTCTCTTAATTAAAAGTATCTGAATTATTATACGAACTAGGAATCCCCGAAATAGCTCAATTTAAACCAAATAGAACTAGGTGAGTACAGAGGAATCATTAGTTCATACAAACACCAAAATGACTTACACCAATAATTTGGTTTCGTGAGCTGTTATCACTCAATGATTGTACCATTCCATTCATCTAATTATCGGCATTAATTAAAGCCAGAGTAATCCTGAGATCGTTGCCCGTTTTTGCCAATCAGGAGACAGTAAAGATAAATGATTAAAATATCCAGTTTAAGATTCTTAAATTATGGCTAATGTCGATCCGTGATAAAAAAACTAACGCGTGACCTAAAAGTGCTTTACGCGTTCACCATTGGCTAAACAGTATAGTTTGGCTTTATCCAACGTACTTGCCCCCAAATACCCTGACACGGCCGAGTGGGGTGGGCGCGCTCTCACACGGCAACGCGTATATAGCCTCCGCCAGAGAAGTCCTACTCACTGCCTTCTCGCACCACGGGTGTTGTTTACGAATATGAGAGGACGAAAAGTAAATGTCTGGCGCTTTAACCGGATTCCAAACTAATGGTGCACATGGGCTCCAGTATCCCGCGGGAACAATTGGCGTATGAACCAATTGTTGGTCACCGGCTTCCATGGGACTACATCTGACGATGCTCCACTGCCTTGTGAATCAGACCTTCAGGTCGAAGGCTCGGGGAGTGGCCCCCTAAGAAAACCACCTGCTTCGATTTGGGCACCCGGGCAGTATCACAACCCTCACACATATCGAATGAGATTTGTGTGGCGCATATGTATTTGGTGCCTCTTTGCACCAATATCTATGTATTGAAATAAATAATCCAACGTTCTATTGATTTAAATGAAAAGCTTTTAAACCTTAGATCACTCATGAAGTCAATAATACTTAGAATAAAGAAGTAACTCTATGATATCATTAGATGATAATTGGGCTATATCACAAATAATATATCATCACATCAACATGAATCTCAGATGGCATAAGAAAAACAAACTTTAAATATCACTCGTAAGAATGTATATTCGTTTAGAATAGCAAGAAAATTATAGGCTAAACAAAATAAACTGAAATAATAGCGTTGTTTTACTGTTTTCCTTTCACTAAAACTAGAAAAAAAGATAATGAAATAAACAAATGCATTGGTTGTTAGATTTTGAGGTCAGTTTACTTTAGTTAGTGAATTATTTCAATGTAATTAAATTAATGTACAGGTATGATTATATAACTATTTTTCATATGTGGAATGTTGACACATATCACTTATGATAACAAAAGGTATTTAAAATAATTAGTATAAGCCAACGAGGATGTGTATAAATTTGACGATCATCTAAAATGAAATGTAAATGATAGTATGTATTTCATGCAATAATTATTAAATTTTTAGAAATTTAAAACAGTCTAATTGTTATTCAGTGTTGATGATAAGGATGCTGACGACATTGATGATGATGTTGATGAGGAGGAGGAAGTGGAAAAGGAAGATAATGTCATAAAATTCGATTGATTTAACGAATTGTTATTAAGACCTTTTATGTTCGATAGTAAATTAAACCATGAATTCAGCATAGTCACAGGTACGGGCATCCATACACATTTATTCTCTGACATAGATAACGTCGGTAAGGATGACATACTCGTGTTATCAGTTCTACTATTGTTGTAAGTGGTGTTTACTGTTGAAGAATTTAAATTCGATGCCATTTTCGAATCAGATAACATTACATTTTTTGTCAGTGGTATCTTACATTCACCAGCAGAAAAATAATCATTCCTATTCATATCTTCATTATGATTAGCAATTTGTTCATCTTTCATAAGATTCGCTTTTGTTAAAGTATTATTATTTATTGGAGAATATTTGTTTATAAACATTAAATTATTATTTGAATGATTTCCTGTTGAGTTTAAATGATTTAAACGTGTCAGTTGTTCACCTAAACGTTTCATATTAATTGAATGACGTTTATTATGTAACTTGGTTGGTAGTTCATCAGAATTTCCAGTTATTGATTGTTTAGTTGAATAATCTCTTAACTTTTCTATGATATTATTATTGTCTGTTAGATGAGATGAATTAATTTGGTGTTGTATACTTTGCATTAGAGGATGATTAGATTCATGGGTTAATTGTGAATGACAACTACATTCACAACACGGTGATCGAGGCCTGTTATCTTGATTACAATATTGTTTAAATTGTAATTTCTCAGATGTTTTTAAATTTGTAGCAGTAAAATTCATTGGATTATCTTTTTCATACTGTGTAAAATCTTCAACTTTCCATAATTCTGAATCATAATTATTCATCAAGTTCGGATGATAATTAGCGTGTAAATTCACTGGACAATTATCAATATTTTGATTATTCATCAATTGATGATTATTGGTAATAATTTTCTCTTTATTTAACATTGAATTGTTTTGTCCTATTCGACAACATGTATCAGTTGTATATATTTGTTTTTCTTGATCAACATTGAATTGTTCAATATTATGACAATTAAACAGGTTCAATAAACTACCGGATTGCTTGAAACATTCCATTAACCGAAAGTTATTAAGATAATTACTTTGTGACATCATAGATACCCAAGAAGAAATAAAATCACTTAAGTCGTTAATCTCATGTGAAGCTTTAATCTGGCTCGGATCAGACAAGGTTGATATTGATTCACCAACATGATTTAGCAGGATATTATTGTCATTATTATTATTGTTATTTTCATGATTATTATTATTATTATTATTATTATTATTATTATTATTATTATTATTATTATTTGTAATGGTATTCGTTTCGTAGTTGTTCTTATTCAAATATGAATTGATAAATGTTGTAATTGTTGTTATATCCAAATTATTAGGAAAATATGTTAGGTTATTAGTTGAACAGTTCAAATTTGGAGATTTTTCAGTTTGTGTAGATGTTAAAGTACAGTTATTCACATTCGTAATAGTATTTAGAATATTATTAATAGTATTAC